TACAGCAGTAACGACAAGAAATTAGCGTTACAGATATGCTCTGAAAAATAGCAGAATAAAGAGGTTTTAAAACGTTCTGAATATGAATTACTTGAAACCCGCTGTTCACAAAAAGAAGTAACTTTTTAAAATAAGGTATTTATTAATAAACGTTAAAAAGAAAGCGTATGATAACAAACTGTTGTTTAAGAACAGTATCAGTGTAAAATTCGGTTGTTGCCAATATTTTATTGCTAGAGTAACTTTTTCAACATCAGAGAAGCTTATTTTGCATCCTATTCAAGGATACTTTCAGATATAAACAAAAACTGCAGAATTTGTTACTTTTTTTGATGACAGAGGTAGAGGAGGTGGAGTAGACTAAAAAATAAATTTGTGCCTAAAATTTAGCACTTGTTTCGTAAGGCAAATAAAATTGTTGTTTATGCAGAACAGTTCATAAATTTGGAAACTCTTAGCATGTACTTGTAGATCAGCCTGGATAAACCACAATGGTTATAGAGATTTATTGTCGTTACTGCTGCTGCTGCTTCTACTGTTGCTTTTGTCGGTAGTTGTTTTGACGAATCCTTCAAAACTTTAACAATGGATATGAGTCATAATCTGCTAAAAGAGAAAAAAATTTCCTTCTTTTTTTTTTCCTGTCATAGACTCATTTGTCTTTACATAATCAAAATGAAGAAATTGAAAGATAAAATTCAATGGCATTATGCAGTCTAAGAAACATTAAAGATACAACTAAATTTCTCAATAATCATATATTAGACAAAAACAAATTGATGCTAAGATTTCAGAAAGCCGAACAAAAGATCAAGAAAACAAATGAGGAGTTGCAGTTGTTCTGTTTAAAGATAGCTTTATAATGACGAAGAAAAAAATAGCTTTATAATACAGAAGAAAAAAAGTGTTTTTCCTTTTCTCCTTTGTATTTGTTACATAATTAGTGCTTTCAAAAAAAATTTTCTGTTACTTTTTCTATCTGTTTTAATTTTCTTTTTTTTCATTGTCTACTTCAGCTTAGATCACTAAATTTTTCATATATTAGTTAACGCATTAGTGATATTATTGTCAATATATTGTTATATCGACTGTACTTATGTATGTATTTGTTGTATTTATACGTAAATTACATATTGTTTTCTTTTGAAACACTTAATGTATTTTTTTCTTTCTTTTTGAAAGTGTTATGCTGATATTTTTCATTTTATACAACAAAACAGAAAAAAAAAATAAGAGAAAAAAAAAACAACGAACAGTGAAGGTTTTGGAAAAAAAATGATGCTTTGACTTTGTTCATAAATTTAAAACAAAGAGAATGAAAAAGTAACCTAAGCAGTTTAATTATTTTCCAAAAATTAGCACGGGTTTTTTAAACTATTGAAAAAATTTCCTTCTTTTTTTTTAAACTATTCTTTTTCAGTACTAATTTTTTTCTTTCTTTTTATATTCAGTATCTGTTTCAATAAGTTTCAGCTATAAATAATCTGTTTGTTGTTGTTTGTTACACCGTTGTTGTATCCCATTCACTGTATATTACCATTGTTATATCACTCAGTGCTGAAAATTTCAAATTTGTAAATTCCTTCTGCTTTCTCTATCAGTGTCTGTCTGTGTTTGTGCGTCTGTGCGTCTGTGTGTCTGTGTGTCTGTGTGTCTGTGTTGTCTATGCGTTTAAATAAATGTTAATCTGTAATCATTCAGTTTAACAGTTTGATAAATTGTCAGTAAATTTTTGCTCCTATTTCCTTCACAACATTGAAATGTTTATCGTTTTCTCTTTTTTTTTTTTTAGCTGTCTTTTAAAAAAAAAAAAATGGAAAAAAACAAGCTTGTTGTCTTCTTCTATACTCGGATATATGTAAATAAGAAGTTGAATAAAATTATAAATATGTAGCATAACAGCAACAAACATTTAAGCGGAACGAGAAGAAAAATGATGACAATGAGAAAAGTCGAAAGAAGAAGAAGTAAAAAATGACGACATAAAGAAAGAAGTTTAAAAAAAAGGAGAAAAACTATTTTCTATATAAGATAATGTCACTTTTAATGAATAAAAAACCAGATGAAATAACCTATTTTGTGTATTCAGTCTTTTTTTTTTTTTTTTGCACCGCTAATTATTTGGTAAAATAAGGCCTATATAGCATGTTTGTCTTTTTGCTTTTTTTTTTTTTCAGGAAGGTTATAAAACGTAAGGCTATTCTTTCAGGGTGTTTTTTCAATTCGTCTTTTCTCTATTTTCATTTTTTTTTTCCCGCATTTAAAGTTTATTGCAAGAATGAAAACATAAATTTATCGAGTATTTCAAATGCATAGAAATCAATGCTACAAAAAAAAAAAGGGATTTTTTTCATATCGGAGAACTTATACAGCTGTAAAAGAAGTCAGTTGAACATTGAAAATATACAACAGAAAAAAAAAAAAAAGTCAAAGTCTTCCTTTTTCAGCTTGTTTCGTCTTCTTCCTCTTGCAATTATCATTACTCTAGCAAAGAAAATCTTCTTTTCAACTTTTCATATAATTAAGCAACAGTGTTTGATGCTTAGACGCTTTTTACAAGCAAAAACTACTGCTACCGTTTAAGTTAACTAATCTCTTTTATGCTTTTTTTTTCTTTTTTTGCTCCATCTTTCTTCAATCCTCACTTCACCTACTTTCTTAAAGATTTTATCTGTCAAATTTCTCTCTTTAGTTGACATTTTTTGGTATATAGAATAAATTCTTAATGAAAAAGAATTGGGTGACTACAGGATTCTTTTTTTTTTTTTTTTTGACATACTGTACAATGTAATGCCTACAAATACACAAAGTCAACATTCTCGACACTTCTAGTCTTCTGAATGACAAGTTAGCGCTTTGCTGCGGTTGCTGTTGTTTTTGATTTCAAAACTTAACAAGGATAAAGAGTTGTAATTTTGTTGAGGTGTGTATGTGTAGTCTTATACACAGAAAAGTGTAAAACAAAACATTTCATGTATAAAAAAAACTTACTATAACATTGTCGTAAAACGAAAAAAAAAAAAAAAA